GGCTGGCCTGGGAACGCCTCAGCATTCCCCCGGAGGAGCTGGAGGAAGTGTCTGGAGAGAGGGAGGTCTGGGCATTTTTGCTTAGACTGCTGCCCCCGCGACCCGGCCCCGGATAAGCGGAAGAAAATGGAATGGAATGGAATGGAGCCAAGAGGAAGTAAATATAAAGAGAAGAGCAGTGGCCCCAAAACTGAGCCTTGCGGAACCCCAGATACCAACGGGGTGAACGAGGACTCAACATCAGCAAAACCAACAGACAGCGTCCTATCTGACAGGGAGATATTAGGATGTCGTGGTCAACTGTGTCAAAAGCAGCTGTCAGATCCAACAAGGCAAAAATCACATGGTCACCGGCATCTGTTGCCAAGTAGATGTCGTTAAAAACCTTTAACAACGTGACTCTGTACTATGCCGAGCTTTAAAACCAGATTGAAAAATCTCCAATACATTATGCTCATCTAAAAAGGATTTCAACTGTATAAAAACCACTTTCTCTAAAATTTTTGAAATAAAAGACAGCTTGGAAATAGGCCTAAAATTATTTAAAATAGAATGATCAAGACCTGGCTTCTTAAGCAAAGGTTGCAAAACTGCATGTTTACAATGTCAAGGGACAACTCCAGAGGACACACTGTTATTAATAATAGCCAGAACCAGCGTTCGTATACAAGGAAAGAACTCCTTAAATAAGGTTAGGAGGAGATTGTTCATGACTTTCACCAGTACAGTTTCTGTACTATGATGGACTCTAAATCCTGACTGAAAATCCTGAAACAAGTCATTCTTGTGCAAGTGTTCACATGCAACAGGTTTTTCAAGGATTTTAGAAAGAAAAGGAGAGATTGGATATTGGTCTATAATTAGCTAGAATACCTGGGTCCAGAGTAGCCTTTTTGAGTAGAGGTTTAATTACAGCAACCTTAAACGCCTGCAGAACATCTGATCTAATATGGACGTGTTGATTTGGGGTAAAATATCTTTGAGCAGCCTGGTCGGGATGAGGTCTAAGAGACATGTTCACATAGTTGTGATTTTATTTGTAAAGAAGCTCATGAAGTCATTACAGCTGAGATCTAAGGCAACATTAAGATCAGCAACATTGTGGCTCTTTGTCAGCCTGGCTACAGTGCTGAAAAGAAACCTGGGGTTGTTGTTATTTTCCTCTATCAGTGATTAATAATATGTAGTTCTGGCACTACGAAGGGCTTTTTTATATGTTATTAAAGACATAAAGATCTGTAACTTCTTACTTCTAAACTCCGCCAAAACTTAGAAATCTGCTGTCTAACCATAGTTACTCTAGATGACATAGCTCTGACCTCCAGTACTGCTGTGAAGAACCTTAGAGTCATTTTTGACAGGGGATGTCCTTTAAATTACACATAAACCAGGCTTCTAGAACTGCCTTCTCTCACCTGTGCAATATTGCAAAAATCAGGAACATCCTGTCTCAAAGCGATGCTGCGAAACTGGTCTGAGAAAACTGGTTTTTCCTCCCCACTGTCACCATGTGCTTGCTCAAGGGAGGTCTGTTGAGTTCTTCTCTAATACTGTAAGCTCTAGACCTTATATGTAAAGTGCCCTGAGATGATTTTTGCTGTCATTTGGTGCTATACAAAACAAACAAACAAAAAATCCAATAAATAGAAAGGAATCATCACAACATATATGTGTTAACAAAAAGCTGTCTTTTTAAAGAATGACCAGACTTGGAGACAAATTAACGTTTTTTGCTTGTTTGTTTTTTTTCTTCAGGTTTCATGTTTATAAGCCCAGTATTCACTTATTATATTGTGGTCTCTACCAACTTGCGAGAAAAATACTGGGCTCTTTAGCTGCTAAAGGAGTGTAGATTAATCAGAACCTTTTTACTAACAACAGGTGCCTGCTGCTTGAAACAATGCTGATGAATGCAGGCTTAATCAAAACAATAAAGTTCCAATATGCAAAAACCAAAACAATTTGTTGAAAAATGTCACAAAGCTTCATAAAGCTTGTATGAGGGAAACTGTTGAGTAAGATTATAAGTCTCTGTGTTTTCATTACATTACAGTGCACATGTTGGACAAAATGTTACTACTAAATCTGGATGAAAGCACTTTTAAGGTTGAGGGCTGCAGGTGATTTGTCTCAATTACATTAAAGACAAGAAGCAGCAGTAAGCCAGCCCTATCTCCTAGAAATGATGTTTACATATAACAAAACTGCAACAGCAAATATGGTTTGCAGGATGGCAAATTTGGTCTGACTGGTGAACATAGTGGATTATTTAGCAACAAAAGATTGTAACGAACCTGAGAGCAGAAGTAAAACCATATGCGAATGCTTTCACAGTTCAGGGACGGAGGGCTCTGTTCCTCCAGTAATGCTTAACATCTTAGAACCCCTTATCTTTTCTTTCACTTTCTCCCTCAGCCTGCAGGATACATAAAACTGTCATGATTCTGCCCCATCCACTTCCTGCAACAAACTCTTATTCTGTAACTACTTCCTGTCCCCAGCTCACCCTGACACCCGGGAACTTCATATCATCAACCACATTGGTATCACCTGCTACTCAATCATTCACACCTGCTCACCACAGCATATAGCAGCTCCTCACCCTGTGGAGAGCTGCCAGATTGTTCTATACATCAGCTAGACTCTCCAGCCTTCTTTTCCTCAGTGCCTTATTATTCTGATACCGACGCCCTGCCTGTACTATTGACCTGAGACACTGCCTCATCCCTTTTGTTGGACTGCTCTCCTGGTAACAACACCTTGCCTGCACTACCGACTAGAGATCTGTTTTTCCTTCCCTGCTGCCCCGCTGGAAACCCTGACCGTAGACCAAATTAAGTACTACTCTTTGCCTGATCCCTCCAGACTGTTTCTGTTCCTATCTGACTCTGTTCCTGAGGAAGACATTAAAATCTGTTCTGCTGCCCCAGCTTACTGGCTCTTTAATTGGGTTCACACCTCCACCTTCACGGGAGCTCCACACACCCCTCCCTGACAAAAACTTCTGTTTTGACAACAAGTGTGGTTCCAATGGATGGGATGTGAAGATGATGTGGCACCTAGCTGGAGACAGCTGTTTATGATCCAAATAAAACCACCGGCCCGTCTCGCCCGCACCGTCAGGGAGGTGGAGCGTGAGCACGTGCGATAGGACTCGAAAGATGGTGAACTACATTATGCCTGGGCAGGGCAAAGCCAGAGGAAACTGGTGGAGGCTCGTAGCAGTCCTGACGTGCAAATCGATTGTCAGACCTGGGTATAGGGGTGAAAGACTAATCGAACCATCTAGTAGCTGGTCCCCTCCAAAGTTTCCCTCAGGATAGCTGGCACTAAGAGTCTCGCAGTTTTATCTGGTAAAGCGAATGATTAGAGGTCTTGGGGTCAAAATGATCTCAATATATTCTCAAACTTGAAATGGGTAAGAAGCCCTGCTTGCTGGCTTGGAGCCGGGCGTGGAATGTGAGCCACCTAGTGGGCCACTTTTGGTAAGCAGAACTGGCACTGCGGGATGAACAGAACACTGGGTTAAGGCGCCCGATGCCGACCCCAGAAAAGGTGTTGGTCGATATAGACAGCAGGACGGTGGCCATGGGAGTCGGAATTCGCTAAGGAGTGTGTAACAACTCACCTGCTGAATCAACTAGCCCTGAAAATGGATGGCGCTGGAGCGTTGGGCCCATACCCGGTCGTTGCCGGCAGCAGGAGCCGGGAGGGCTACGCCACAACAAGTAGGACGGCCGCCGTGGTGAGCATGGAAGCCTAAGGCGTGGGCCCGGGTGGTGCAGCATAAATTCAGATAAAAACTGAAATGGAACATTGCAGTCATTGACTAAACAGCCCTCAACAATGCATGTTAGAACAAATGCCATGATTTACAACAATTGGTGAACAGTACCAAAAATATAAAACATTTTATTCACTCTCATTGAGAAGCAGTACCTCTGAAAAATGCATATCTCAAATAATTCTGACACTGGATTGTGTATTTGGATGGGCCTGCCTTTTTACACAACACTAGGATGGATAGAATTTAAGAGTATGTGCACCGCAGATGTACTTTTTGCAATTGGCGCATGTGGTCTGTGTCTTGGAGTTCTTTGAGGGTCCACACACTTCGCAGCGCTTCCTCTTTTTGCCAGTGGCTGCTGGAGGTTGTGGTTGTGTGGGTCCTGCAGGTGGAACAGCAGGGATCCTCCTGTATCCTCCTAATGATGGCAAGAGAAGCTGGGTTCCTGGGGACATGTCTCCTCTGTGTGTGCGGTGTCACAAGTGCCTTGCCTAGTTCCTCCAGAAAAAGACATGTTCTTTGGAGCTTCTTCTGTTTCCATTCCGGGTTAAGTGCCATCCAGATTACGAAGGCATTGTATGCCGAAATATCTAGGACGTTCAATAAAATCACAAGTGGCCACCGTAATGTTCTTCTTTGGCAGCTGTAGCAGGATAGCAGCTTGTCAAGGTTGTCAACCTCTCTTTTGGTGGCATTGTAGTCAAGTATGACCTCTGGCTTGTGGTCCTCCCGGCTGCTGATTCTCCCATCCCTGCTCATAAGCATCACATTTTTGCCCTTTTTGGGTATGTAGAATACGAGGGCAGTGTTGGCCGTAAACACAAAGGTGGAGGAATGGACTGGCCTGTTCTTTACAATTAGAAGCTGAGGTGGGAGCTCAGTCCTGTTTTTTCTAATTGTGCCAACCATTGTCAGCTTTCTTTTGAGAAGTTCCTGTCCCAGGCTGTATGTAGTGAAAAAATTATCACAAGTGATGATGTGCTCACTGAGGCCCTGTGTCAAATCAAGAATAACCCATGTCCCCTGGTTTTTCTCAGGGGCTCCTCCCTCTGGCTTCCCTGTATAAATTTGCATGTTCCATGCATAATATGATGTCGCATCACAGGCAATCCGTATTTTTATCCCATACCTTGTCGGTTTGGAGGGCATATACTGCCTGAAGGGGCAACGGCCTCTAAACCCCACAAGCCGTTCATCTATTCACATTGGGCCCAGGGTTATAGAGAATTGGAAGCCATTCCACCCACTTGTCCCACACAGTACGGATGGCTGCTAACTTGTCCTTCCTCTGCCTAGCAGGTCTTGATTCCTGATCATCAAACCTGATAACCCTGGAGAATATGTGGAAGCTCTCCAGCGACATTGTGGCTCCAAAAATCGCTCTCCCTGTCTCAGCATGCCCCAGACTTTCAGTTGACTCCCCTCTTGATCTGTAGACACCCGCAAGCATGAGGATCCCAAAGTAGGCACGCAAATGTATGTGGTCCATCTCTTTCCACTGCTCCCCAAAAACATGTCTTCCCTCAAGATTGGTCATGTCCAGAATGATTTTCTGGATTGAGTGAGGAATCAGCAGTTCAAATGATGACACTATATCATGAACATGTGTCACAGCCATTCGTGTGGGTCCTGGTACCATCCTTATTTTGTTAGCAGCTGAAACAGGGGCTTCACCCATCGGAGATGAAAACCATTCAATCTGGCCATTCTTGGATGTAGTTGGCTGTGGGGCTCCTCCAGCAGTGGGATCTGTAGTTTCTTCTGCTGCGTGCTCTGAGTCCTCATCATCCTCAAATTCACTCTCATATTTAGAAGTTTCTTCAGTATTGTCCTCATATTCCAAGACATCCTCTTCTTCACCTCCACTATCTGTCTCACTCTCTGCTAAAAATAGCTCTAAGGCCTTCTGAGCAGTGTACCTTTTGCTCATGGTGCTGGACAAATGAAGATGAAATGACACACTGCAATCAAGAGCTATTTATATGTAAATATAATGTATAGTCCACGTAGGTTCAGGTCAACAGCTTTTTTTTCGTTTGTCAGTTTTCTTTTAGTAAAAATCTAAAAAAAGGTCAATTTGATCTGGACGCAACACTAGGGTTAACCCTTGTGCCCTACTTAAATGTACTACCCTCTTTTCGTATTCTTGCCATAAATGTGTACACTCAAATCAATATTTTTTCTGCTTTTTTTTTCATAAATCTTTTAAACATCAAACCAAAAACTCAAAACTACAAAACACTCAATCATTCTCAGGATTTTAACCCCTTAAATGCCAGTTAATGATTTGAATTATGAAAGAAAAACACCAAAAATGAATTATTTTCCATATAATAAATAGGAGGGTGGGGTGTTGGTGGTGAGTAGTCTTAGATATGTCAAAGATTAGCAACAAAACTGATTTGATTGCTTCAGTATTTTTTATGTAGCACCAGATACTCCCCCCTGACACATTCGTGGCCAAAAATGCCCCACTGACTTCCACTGAAACCACATTTTGTTATCTCACTCCGATTATAGTATAAAACCATGCATTCTGTAATGTCAGTATTTGATTTTGAAGAGAAATAATGATATGACATTTTTACTCTATTTCACCAGATTGAACCCTTTCCCCGTTGTAGACTGATGCATGAAATTTGTGCATTTTTGCTATATAATGGAGCCGTCTGACTACCAGGGGGCCCCAAGAGTTTTGTGTGTGTGTGTGGGTGGGTGGGTGAGTGTGTGTGAATCTGTAAGCACGCACTGATAATTTCAGTGTTGAAAAAAGGGTGTGTTTTGAGGGATTGTTCAATGTGTCTTTGAAGAGGTGCTTGAGTAAAAACATGGCCTCCTGCCTTTGCTGTACTCAAAACCAAAATGAATAAGAACTGTTAGTGTGTATATGCACCTGGCTGCCTTCACAGCCAAAGATAAACATGCAGCTTGGTTGAGGCGTCATTTTATTAGCAAAAAAGGAGAAAGACCTGGAGCAAAAAGAGGTAGCAAAAATGAAGAAGCATTTCAGTGCAGAAGAATGTGTGTGTGTGTGGGTGGGTGGGTGAGTGTGTGTGAATCTGTAAGCACGCACTGATAATTTCAGTGTTGAAAAAAGGGTGTGTTTTGAGGGATTGTTCAATGTGTCTTTGAAGAGGTGCTTGAGTAAAAACATGGCCTCCTGCCTTTGCTGTACTCAAAACCAAAATGAATAAGAACTGTTAGTGTGTATATGCACCTGGCTGCCTTCACAGCCAAAGATAAACATGCAGCTTGGTTGAGGCGTCATTTTATTAGCAAAAAAGGAGAAAGACCTGGAGCAAAAAGAGGTAGCAAAAATGAAGAAGCATTTCAGTGCAGAAGAAGTTTTAGAAATGGCAATGAAGCCTTTACCTGCCAGTGAGCTACTTGGAGACGATGGGGGAGGGGAGTGTGACCCTTCCTCTGAAAGTGTCAGGTGCTTGAGTAAAAACATGGCCTCCTGCCTTTGCTGTACTCAAAACCAAAATGAATAAGAACTGTTAGTGTGTATATGCACCTGGCTGCCTTCACAGCCAAAGATAAACATGCAGCTTGGTTGAGGCGTCATTTTATTAGCAAAAAAGGAGAAAGACCTGGAGCAAAAAGAGGTAGCAAAAATGAAGAAGCATTTCAGTGCAGAAGAAGTTTTAGAAATGGCAATGAAGCCTTTACCTGCCAGTGAGCTACTTGGAGACGATGGGGGAGGGGAGTGTGACCCTTCCTCTGAAAGTGTCAGAGGCACTCACAGAAGTGAAGGACTCCAATGGGCATTCTGTCAGATTCCCCTCCCCCATCTTCAAATGAATCCTGCAGCTCACTGTGTGCTTACAGATTCACACACACACACACACACAAAAAAAAACTCTTGGGGTTCCCTGGTAGTCACACGGCTCCATTATATGACAAAAATACACAAATTTCATGCATCAGTTTACAATGGGGAAAGGGTTAAATCTGGTGAAAAAGTAAAAATGTCAAATATCACTACTTTTCTTCAAAATCAAATACTGACATTACAGAATGCATGGTTTTATACTCTAATGGGAGTGAGATAACAAAATGTGGTTTCAGTGGAAGTCAATGGGGCATTGAAAGACAGGCATATAAAACATGCATAGGTTCAGTATGACTGAACCTATTCAGTAATAATAATTAATAATAATTAATAATAATTTAAATTAATTCCAGTCGATCCACCACGAAGCTGGTGCTCAAAAGGTAATAGTTTTGTCTGCCAAAGTGAGACAGATCTGCTACAAGAACTAGATACTTCCCTCAATAGTTACTGTAGACAAAAACACAACTAAAAAAATAAATGTTAATTACAAACACAAAACCTAAAACTATGTTAACTTTGCACTATGAAAGAACAGTTCTTGTGCTAAGCTAGGCTACTTTACTCCTGGAACTAGTTTTATAATTTGCTATCTACCTCATAGACCCTATTTGTTATTTGTCATATCAGGGAATAATTAAGATTTTGAACTTTACTTTAAATACTTTATTTGTACCTACAGCAAGGAATGCTAGATAGAAAAATAATGAATTTTATCTCCACTTATCATCACACCTATCTGTATGCTTCAACTCGTCAAAGCACAATGCAGTGTACTTTACTTGTCTTTCCAGTGTTATTTTTCTCCCAACTTTCCTTTTGTGTCCATCTCCCATCTCTGTCCTTTGCTGAGCTGGTCATTTTGGAAGCGTAAAATCCCTGATAAAGGCAGCTGTAAAAAGCTTCACTTGCTTTTGATGAGAGTAGTAGAAAATATGCTTGCTTTGCTGAGTTTAGCTCATGATCTTCCTCTATTACAATGCATTTGATATGTTCCACTTCAACCGGGAGTGCTTTAACTGTGAGCTTTTTTTGACCCCATCACTTAATCTGTCTAATCTGACAAAGTAACAAACTAGGATTACATTAGAATAATAGACCTAATTTCCCATTTTAAATCTGAATTAACAGTCAGATGTTTATTCTGACTTTATTCTTGTTATATCCTCAGAACAGTCTGTTATTCTTTCTTTGTTCCTACTTCATTAGCTGACATCATTAGGTTTCTTTTGTCCTCTTCCAGATCTAGCTCCTTAGTTAATCAGGCCTTCCTGCCTCTTCAGCTGTTTCTCTCACACCATTGCCAATCTGTCAGCATACTCTGTGCTTGCCTCCCCTCCTTATTTATGTGTGATAGACTACTTCCAATGGGCCTACCCTTTTTGCAACAATGGCCTCAGTCATACTGAACCTATTCATGTTTATATGCCTCTCTTTCCCCAACCCAACTTTCCTATCAAATCACACATAATTGCTTTAGTTTACTTTTCTCCAGTTGCACTTGCTTGTTTTCTTGACCGATAGAGAGCATTACTCACAGTAACAGATGGGATTTTTTTTCTACATTCTTGTTTGTTCTCCTGCAATCACATACTGATGGGATTGTAGGAGCAAAACACATTCCTTAGACTCTTTTTCTGTTCCTTCATTTCCTGCCAGAGCAGCCCATTTAATGCTCTGTATAGGCTCTATTTTATTATAAAGCCTCTTCCGGCTCTTTCAAACCAGGAACTCACAAAGACGAAGTGGACCACTTAGATTTTATAAAAAATAACCGTGCTGGTTACAAAGGCATGCAGTAAAATTACTACCACCATTTCCACCACTGGCATAGAATTATGAAAATCTTGCTACTGTTGTTTCGCGCATTAATCATCTCAATCATTTGGTGTAAGGTGGTACCCTGAGCTGTTTTAAAACAAGTCTTTTTCTCATATTGAAGTTCTGATAGTCAAACATGTTTAGCCCTGACGCTGTCCTTGCAACAGCACAAAGCGTCCGTGGAGGAAAAAGACTACACTCCCCAGCGGCGTAATGCGGTCATGACGATCATGTGGTCTGTCTGCCCCCTAACAGGAAGTGTCCGCCGGGGAAAGACCACACTCTGGAGCAGCTGTCACATCGAGGGGGCGGAACAAGGTTGAGGATTGGTTCACACCGGCCGTCACATTATGTGATGAAAGTGTAGTGCTATGCCCCATGTCCCGAGATGAGGTTTAAACAGACAGGTATATTACACGTTGTAGGCGGACACGTTGATGACATTGTGGAAGACGGCCAGCAGGCAGTCATCAGCAGCTGTACATGCTGATCACCTTGTCCAGGTTGTCCACGCCACCTTTGGTGCAGTTGTAGTTGAGGACAGCGGCCGGCTTCCTGTCGTGGCGCTTGCCGTTGACCTCGGCCCACGCATGCACTGTGCTCAGGAGCAGCACACCTTTGTTCCTCCTGGTGAGGTAGAACACCAGAGCGGCGTTGCACGTGAAGGTGAACTCAAGACGAGAAAAACTAGCGGCCCCTGGTCATGAGCAGCACGGGCGGGATCTCTGGCTTGTTCTTGTGCAGCATGCTGATCAGGTGGAGCCCCCTGCGCAGAAGCCACCGGCCAAGCTCATAGGACATAAAGAAGTTGTGCACATGACGGTGCAGTCCTGCAGCCCCCCATGACATCCAGCACGATGCGCATCCCCTGGTTCCTTCCACATCTTCCACATGTAGCTGGTCTCAGCATTGCAGGCGACTTGATCCCGTACTTTGCCGGCTTGCTGGGCATGTACTGCCAGAAGAGACAACGGCCTATTTTGGATGAGGGGGTGGGGGGAGAGTAAAGTAAAATGAAAAAGATTAGCTTTAGCATAGCATTTCATGGGGCCTTTGGTGTCGCTAGCCCAAAACAATGAAAAAAAAAAACTGCGAAAGTGAATCTCGCTACTGGGGTTTAGTTTTTTTTTTTTTTGTCCACCTCCCCAAATTCATGGTATGGAGGTGGATTCAGGTATCATTCATTCACAATACCTCAGAAGGATAACAGCTGCTTGACCAAGGTCACGTGAGGCCCTGGGTCGCAGGAGCCCACATGTTCCAGACCTCCCGCACAGCTGCCAGCTTGTCTATGGCGCACCTCACTGGTCTTGTTTCATGGTCATCGAAGTGCAACAGCCTGCCATAAATGTGAAAGAACTTGAGCGGTGTAGTGGTTAAACACAAACAAACAAACAGACTATAGTAACAGTTAATCTACAATATGTAATGTGAAGTAAAACACATTAGAATGGGATATAGTGTGACTTACAAACAGCTGCAAAGACACTGACCTTGTGTACTTCCAGAAGTGCGTGTGCTGTTCTCAAGAGGGTGCTGGGCATCTGACTTCCAGCTATTCAAAGCATCTAGTATCTAACATCCCCTAAAAAGGAGAAGCTAGCAGGGTGTTCCATAAAGAGGGAGTAGCAAGTCTAGCAAGTAGCAAGTATGGATGCAATTGGAGAAACAATGATAAGAAGCGAGAGATGGGAATAAAGTGAGGAAGCAGAGTTGGTCAGGGTGTGTGCATTCGGAAGGATAGAAAAACAGGCAGATCCCGGCCTGGAAGGGACCGACCTGACTTTGGATTCTGGACTCTGACTGACTGTACTGTGGCCACAATAACTGACTGACTGTGACAATCTTCTTATTTAATACTGTACCTATTTCATTGTAGGAGTGATTCTATTCATCTGTTCCCTATCTTTCAGATTATTGAATTATCTTGCAATTTACTGACCTGTCCAGTATTATTGTAATATTAAATAATTATTGGAATTGGGATAATCTGCCTGAATTAATTTAGTTCAGACCCTACCCACTACAGTGAGATGGCGGCGCGGAAGACCGGCCTTCTGCTCTCGCCGTGCCACAGGCTGGCCACGGCCTCGCTGCGAGACCTTTACTACCCACCAGGATCAGCAGGCCCGCATAGGCGTGCAGGTCAGGCTTGTCCATCATCCGCCAGGTGTCAGCGTATCTGCGCTGGCCCTTGGGGCTCGTCATCTCCAGGATGACATTCTCCATCGCTAGTGTGATGAACAGGTGGAACACTGAGGCAATGTCACAGAGAATGGCTTGCTCACGCCTATGGCCAGTAGCATTAGGGCGTAGCTCATGGGTTCCCAGGGCAGAGGTATTCATTGCACAGCCTTGGAGGGTTTGCTGTATGCAATGGAGGACCACGCTATTTTTCCATCTTTGGACAGGAAAGTCTCTTTTTTCTCGTCTTTGTCTGAAGAAGAAAAAGGATTGTTGCACGCCAGGTCGTACTCTTTATCATCATTATCGTCTTCTTCCATTGTCCTCGTCATCCAAAGTGGAGCGGTCGTAGAAAAGACTGGTTTAGAACCTGCACGGCGGTGAAATGCACAGCCATGGCTTAAGTGTGCGAGGGACTGAAGATGAAATCGGCATCAAAAACGACCATTAATATACGCGCTTCCCTGTGAGAGGGAGAGAGAGAGAGCTGGGGGGAAGCCCAAAAGTCTCCAAGGGCTAGTGCGTCTGAGCAGTGCCCACTGGGGAGAGCGGAACTGCGGTCCCATGATCCAAGTGGTCCTTTGGAAAAGGCAGTCACATGACCTGAGGAACCGTGGTCCCACGGGAAAAGCAGTCAAGTGACCCATAGGCTCCCAGTAGTGCTGCCCGCTGGGGAGAAGTGCTACAACGGCTGCGGGTCAGTTTGACCCGAGGACGGCGAGAGGGTTAATCTTATCTTAAATCTTTAGTTTTGGCTCATGAAAACAACAACAAACATCGTAACAGCCAAATGTTGAGCTGTCCTCAGCACCAAACAGGATGCAGCATGGTGGGCACAGAAACAGTGGTAAAAATATGATGGAGACTCTTGTGAGGCCTCAGAATGTGCAGTTCTGTTGGAACCTTACAAAGGAGGAGAAACTGGTGAAGCTGCAGAGTGAGCAGGAGTATCTTTTACTGTATTTGTCATCCAATCTTTACTACAATATAGTGGTGACTTTCTTTCTTTCTATAGTGGTGAATTAGAAAAGGTGAACAGACCTCGCTGTCCCCTTTTCAGTTCACCAGGGTTGTGTCCACATTCTGTAGTGTCTTCTCTTTTTCTTTTTGGCCATTTTTTCCAAGCAAAGCGCTGCACACACAAGTCCAGCTGTAGCCAAATGCTGCTTTTGTTTCTGCTTCATTTTTAAATTCTTTTTTCTTGTAACTTCCCAGCAGGAGCAGGATGGAAAGTTGTCTCAAGAGATATCTAGTTACAGTCTTGCAAATAGTGACCCTGCAAGATCCCCTGTCTTAGCAAAATCACAGTCTATGAGCAGAGACACACCAAGGGACAGTTGGCCATCGACCACCATTGGGCCTGTTAGACCCAGTTCTTTAATTGAAAGTGTTGGACAAAACCAGTCCTTGCATGTTCGTTTATGAAGAATGCTCAAAGACAAATCTGTCTTTTGAGATATTTATTACAATATTCAAGAAAAGCAATACAGATTCTGGATTCCGTCTCTATCTGAAGCCCTATCACACAGAAGTATAGTGCATAGCTGCTGCAGGAAGCCGGAACCACGAGTTTCCTCTTCACAGAGAATTTATAATAAGAGTCATGCAAATGATCTGATGTCATCCGTGCTGCTTTGGTTGGTTTCGTCGTTCGGACCCCTCATTTGGTGATCTTGTCGCCAGGCAGATTTTGAGCTGTGAATTTCTGAGAATACATCCTGACCCTCTGAACCAGACATTACACTCCTATATACATCCTTATAAACAGTTAGTTGTTGTCTGCAGATTTAGGAAGAGCGCCCACGTTGCTATGCAACCTGGTCTAGTTCCTGTTTTGTATGGTTTCCTGTCTGATTCTTGCAGCCCACACATGTCTCCTATATGCTTCAAGACAAGTGAACTGGTTAAAATGAAAGTAAATCATAAAGCATATGATACTAAAGTAAACATGTAGATATATATAGATAATGCAGATTATAATGTCAATCCTAGAATTTCATATAATGTTGATAAATGTTGATAATATGGAGGCAGAAGAAGTGTATCACAGAGCGGCGCAAGTAACAGACCTTGTGGAGCACCAGAAACAGATGTACATCGCGCTGATGAACCAACAGCAGGAAAACTTCAAAGGCTTCGTGCAACTAATTATGGAGACAAACAACAAGAGACTCGACGACATGGCCAGAGAAATACAGGAGATAAAAATGAGTTTGCAGTTTACCCAGCGAGAGGTGGATGTGATTAAAGCTGCCATGGGTGAACAGAAAATACAAACCAAGGAGACGAGGGATGACGTCTACAAAACTTGCAAGAGTTTAATAGCTATAACAAATAAAAAGGAGTATTTGGAAGCACAGTCCAAGCGAAAAAACTTGATCTTTGAGGGAATCAAGGAGACAGCTGGAGAAAGCTGGACGGAAGCAGAATGTAAGGTGAAGGAGATTCTAAAGAATAAATTGCAAATTCATCAAGAAATTGAGATGGAGTGGGCTCACAGAGTCGGGAAACCTTCTGATTGTGGTCCAAGGGCGGTGATGGTAAAGTTGATGAAAGAGAAAGATAAGGCACACATATTGCAACAAGCAAAGAAGCTTAAAGGATCTAATATTTATATAAATGAAGATTACACCGAGTCTGTGAGGAAGAGAGGAAGGAAGTTGATGCCGAAGTTAAGGGAGGCCAGGGAGAGGGGAGACATTGCGTCCCTGCGGTATGATCGACTAGTGACCAGACCTCAGAACCAGAATCCAGGACCCATGACCAGCACGCCGAGGACCAGTATGCCGAGACAAGGAGAGTATGAAGGGGTCGCTGGACCCTCAGCTGTATGAAGAAACACGCAGGTATATTGATATCTGCGA